CTTCTTCTTCTTCTTCTTCTTCTTCTTCTTCTTCTTCTTCTTCTTCTTCTTCTCCTTCTTCTTCTCCATCTTCTTCTTCTTCTTCAAAGAATCCGCCATTGACAACGCTCACACTTCACTGCTGTATTCAGTAACAAACTTGTCGGACGAGTGGAGAATCCAAGGCGTACAACCCTACACGTGTCGCTAGCATCGTGACACAACCGCCCCAGACTCGAATGCCGAAGAAGAAGAAGAAGAAGAGCACGGTAGAGTTTGTGTTTTTGAGGACACGGGAGTAAAAGGTTAGGAGCTGATCCTAGGTTTTGAGATGAAACAGAGGTTGTGAAAAGAAATAATTTACATCTTGTTGATATGATGGATCTTTCCACTTTCATTAGGCTCATAGTGTAGCAACAATCTAGTTTTTCTTTAACACCTCCTCCATCCCCCACCCCCAACACTCGGTGTATTTGCCAAATATGTCCTTACGAATACGGTGGAGCAGATGGCTATGGTGTGCGTTTAAAAAAAAATCATGATTAGATGACATAAAGCCTGCACATTAAAAAAAGGCTTGTAATGCTTTAGAAAAAAAATCATCGTTATTCACATATACATAATCATTTTGATGTGTCTCTTACCATGAACTCGAATAAAAGAAGTACACCAATTAACATTGAACTCAGAGGCACTCTCATTTACATAGATATGAGTGAACATCAATAAAAAATACCATAGTATTAGAAACTGGGGTCAAAGAGGAAAGAGTTCACAAAACCTATCAAAGTGCGCACCACGACAGAGACAGGTACAGGATGAATACTGCCGTATATTCTCGAACTAACATCTTATCTTGCGCTCAAAACCTAGAAAAAAGACAGATTTATACAGAACCTTTCTTAAATAGATCAGTCATGAGAACCACGGCGAGTGTTGCATTTCATAAATCCCTGAAATATATTCTACTTTAGACAAAGATATAAGAAAACCACCCAAAGGTTACCAATATCTTCGTACCACTTTAGACGTATTCTTATGTATGACCATAATTAGTAAGTTACGGCTCCTAATCATTTTATGCAAGCACGGTTAACATTCTCTATTATTCACATTCTCTTTTTGCCAATACGAATTTCCATTGTGAAAGTCACGAGGCATTATTGGCAGAAAAGCCACCACTGTTAAATGGGTAGATAAACACTAGGGGGTTCAGCTCAAGGCTTACATAATAATTTATAGCAACAAAAGCATTCTGTAAACCTTTTTCGCCCTTCAATTGGCTTTGTCATTTTATTATCTCCCCTTTGAAACAATGCTGAAACACGTCAATGTTAAAACAAAGCATATTTCTTTAATATTTGTCTAATTTTCTTGACTCCTACCTTTAAACAAAATTCACTTATGGATCTTTCTGCCCATTCTCTTCTTTTTCTTTTTGATTTTGGAAGCTGCTTAAAGTTCTTTCTTTTTTGTGGTTTTTGTATATATACATCTTTTTATGTTAGCTTTCTCTTTCCTTTACGAAACAAAGTTAACAGTGTACTTGGCAAATAAATGCTGGTGCTTAAAAAAACCGCCCAACACAGGTGCCCATTTTCTGATTGTATGCCTTTTTTGACTTGATGTATTGATGTGAACATTTCAAGGAACCACGAAAGTGAGAAACTATGCCTTTATGGTCTCTGTTCAGACCATGGGTTTTTATAAATAGTGCATAAAAACCATAGAAGTTGACATTGGTAAACAATGAAAGTTACAAGACTGAAGAACACTCGATACCCAAACACACTTTCATATAATTTAATAACATAACCATCACCAATTGATGCCTCCCTCATACTGTCGTCAAAGGGGGAAGCAAAACAAAAACAAAAACAAACAAAAAAATCAACACAGTATAACGGTATTCCAATGTGTTCTCCAGAACTCCTGTGAGCACTCAAGGGTGTCGACAATAGTTCGACAGTTTGTATCATCTTCCTGAATGTGGAAAAAAAGCAATATCTCCAAGCGGGTAAGGTTCTGAGATCTGCTGTTTAAGAAAATCACGTGAGGTGTCTTTTCAACAAAATGCCCGGGGAAAGTGGTGGTCAAATGTGACACTGTACAGAGCTGGGTAAGCCTGGGGGTCAAACCGGGGTCGGCCTGGTGTCGACGGCAAAACACAGGTAGCAGATGAGCTGTGATGTCACCAGGTGTCAAAGCACAGTGTCGAACACAGACATACCTTTGGTAATGTTCTCATCCTGAAAGTAAAAAGAAGCATAGACACAAGATACTGAAGGGTCGCCTCATTGTGGAACGAAATGACGATATACGATTATGGGGTATGCCGAAAATATAAATACGATTTTATCTCAGTTGAAACGATTAAGTTGTTTCCCAGTGTGGGTGGTGTAATGATAGGGCATTTCACTGTTCTACTCATGACGTGAATTTGAGTCCCGAATGGAGAAGTGATACTGAGTATCAAGTATCTTAATCCGTCTGCTGGTGTGCTATATCCAATTCAACCCACGTTGGCCCTAACAGACCTGGCCAAAACAGCCTGCCTTCTAAATCTCTTATATTCTGTCGATGGGATGGTAATCAATTTACAATTAAAAGAGTGGGTGGTGAGATGGGATCATTACTTAAATCGTGAAGAGAAGACAAAATAAAAATAGTGAAAAATCCCAAAAAAATACCACCAAACCAAGCTTATAGGCCTATTATTTTCAGCGCCTTTTTTATCATTCACATTCACATCTGAGGTTGTAATTAACTCTTTAGAAAATAACTACATTTTTTTAGGCGGCTGACACATATACAAAACTTAAATCACGAACTCCGTTTAACAACCAAAATAAACAGGTTTTTGTCCATATGGCTGATCATTCCCTTGTGGATATCGAATGTGGTTCTTGAGTATAACCTCTGAATACCAGTCACATAACCGCAAGAAAAGCCAGGGACTTGTTCGAACTGGTAACCTTTACATCGGTTGTCATGCTGCGAGACTGTTTACCTCTCAGAAGAGACTGGGCTATGCCTAAACAAACATGCCCTTCTATGAGAACATGATATATGTGTGTCAGTACACTCGCATAATAATATATTTATTATTTTGTTGACAATTGTTAATAGTTTCAGCGGTCAGGGTCAACAAAGCTATGGTAGTTTGGATAAAGAGAGAGAGAGAGAGAGAGAGAGAGAGAGAGAGAGAGAGAGA